TTAAACTACAAAAAAGGTAAAAGAAAAAATAAAATATATTTTCCTTTTCCAGTTCAAAAATACAACATTTTAATCCCAAAAAAAAAAACGGTAATAAAAAATGGTTTTCAATTATTGCAAAAACAAATTTGTTTTATTTTCTTTTTAACAGCTCAAAAAGCGTTAGGTATGCGATATGGCCAAGAGCTATAAGTTTTAAGCCAAATATAAATAGGTAAATTCATTTCAATGTACAAAGCTACATTAATGTTGTTACACATGTGGAAATGCCTTCGATTTAATTCGGTAGAATACTCTTCAAACCGCTGAACTAGCGAACGCATCCTTCGGCATACCCTTTATAATTGCTGGCCAGCTCGTTATCAGCACAACGCCCACTGATAAGAAGTCGCGGAGCTTTCTGTCGGCCGGAGCCGAAGTTGGCCGAGGACTTACGGCCGGAAAAGCAGAGCTTTCCCTGCAGCAACCGTAGAGTCGGCGGTGGACAGGCAGAAATCGCTAGCATATGGTAGCGTTGAATGGCGCATCGTCTAGCATTGGCTATCCTGTCGTTGTGGCAAGCGGTCCTTGTCCTTCCAACATCCTGTTGCCTGTTGCCTCTAACCTGTGTTGCGAGCGGTTTCGATTCGGGTTCGGATCCGGGTTTTATTTTGGTTTTCCCGTCGAACGGTGCGTGTGCCAGTAGAAAATTGAGACTCAGTCGTCCGTCACTTGAATGGATTGCTTTTTGCATAAATATCAAAAATATTCAGAAAGAAACTCAGTGAATTCGATTATTGCGGCTGCGGTGTTAAATTTTCGCTTAATTTGCATATGCCAAGAGTGTTTTTCAAAGTTTCTTTTGAATATAAATGAGCTGCGTCAAAGGAGATGATTAATTATCCCGATTTTGGGTAAAACAAACAACTAAAATCATTTCAAAACAATTAGTTTTTGCAAAAAAAAAAGGGCAGGATTTAAAAGAATCACGGATAAAAAGGTAAGAAACAATTCGTAAATTAAAATTATATATTGGGTCCAATCGTATGTTTGATATAACAAAATGTTAAAGTGCGAGTGCATAATTTTTTAAACAAGATGGTAATTAAATTTCAATCTTCAGACGTAAAATTATAAAGCGGGGGTTGTAATTGAAATTATTGCATAGTACAAGAAACTGGATTTAAAGAGTTGGGCAAAGCCTAACATTAAAATCTGTTGATGAATTACTTAGCTCAAATTAAAACGTTGAAAATTGGTTTTAGCACTTGAAAGCAACAAATTAACGGAGTACAATATAATGTTTAAAATTTTGCGCACTTGATTTTTAGACTTTCGCATATAGTGAATTGCAGATAATTACAATTTCAAAGTTTTAATTTAAAAGATTTGTTTTTACCAAATAAAAAGTTCAAAAACAAATTCGTCGATTCATATCTAAGCTTTAGCTCTCCAATTGAAAATGTTTCAAGTGGGAGATGTTTTCGTCACTTTAAGCCATCGACAAACTCGGAACAAATCAAAAGAAAGGTGCGGGAAGGCGATGAAGAAATCCAATTTGATAAGTAATCGCATCAGGCAAAAGCCTTGAATTTCGCACTTAAAGCGTCTTTGGGCCCCCTAATCCCAGCCATTTAAACACTAAAGCAGCCGAAGACAGAATTTTTTTATGGCTTGCAAAAGGCCCTCGTCTGCCTGTTGAATACCTACCATTCAAGTTGATATTTCTCTCTTTTTTTTTGGCATCGGTCTGGGACTTGGCTTATTAAATCTGTGATTGTTCGCAGTGGTGGGTCGCAAGCACCGCAAAGTTGGCCAGGTCAAAGGCCAAAGTAGTTTAAGAGCTCTTTGATTTGGGTCCTCCGCATTTTTATTTTTTTTGCATTTCCTGAGAGCGAAAGTTTGCCTTTCGCTTCGCTTCCCTATCGCACATGTGTATCTATTTGTTGATAAGATTGTGGTCCCTTATCTGCCAACAATATACGAGTATTCAATGTACAATTTCGAACCATATTCGTTACGCCTCTGCAGTTTTTTTTTTTTTTTTCGTTCATGGCCAGTTAGTAGGCGTTACATGGGATTGTAGACCTAATTGTTGGTCTGCTCCTTTTATTTTTCTGTCTATCTAATGACGTCAAACATTGGCATACCCTGTTTGGGTGTGTGTGTGTGTGTGTGTGTGTGAATGAGTTTTGTATATGACCAACAGGTAAGGGTTATCTGCAAACTGGTCAAAGTTGCGTTGTGTCAATTTTGGAATTTATAAGTTGTTCATTTCTGTCCAACTTAGGGGCCCAAAACTTGACCAAGGCAATAAACTTTTGCCGATGCCTGTTTCGGGTTGGGGTGGCATGCTTGGATGGCTTCACTGTCACCAGGCGGAGCAGCGATGAAAAGCGATGGCAAGGAGCTGTGAACAGAAGGAGCAGGAACAGGAGCAGGAGCAGAAGCAGGAGCGAAGACAGCCAGTCGATGGCGAGACAGCTTGTCACTGACATGTCCAGGGCTTAAATTTCAGCCTTCATGCTTCCCCGCCAGCGCACAAGTTCATTATTGTTATTTCCCACTCCCTTGGTGCTGGTGCACTCGCTTTAAGTTTTTTAATTATGCTGCCTGGTTAAATCCTCGGGTTAATCCGTTTTAAAGACGGGCATGCATGGCGTATGCGCGATGAGGAAAGTTGAGATTTATTTGCTGTCTGGTAAAGAGACGGCAATAGCATGTTTTAAATCGATATTGTTCTTATCAAAACTGCTTTGATTGCAAAAGACTAACAAAATCTCAGCTCCTTTGAAAGGTAAGCCCACGTTGCGTATGCTTAATAGTGTTTGAGTTATTTCGCGCCTGCCCATTAAAATATTTAAGGATCTTACATTGTATTTCAATGAATGAAGTGAAATAATTTAGTTTAAGAAAACATTTATTTTTATGTAATGATTAAGATTGATATCAAAATTAAAGATACATAACGGGGTATCCAACTGTTTTCCGGTAAACCCGAATTAAAACCGTAACCGAAACAAAATAATTTTTTTATTACTAACTGGAATCGTAACCGATACCGAAACATTTGTACCGGTTCTCCAAAAATGTATTTCTTAAAAATACATAACTCGTAAAACTTCTTAACAATTGAATATGACAGATCATGCAAGTGCTTTCCTTTTAATGTTTCTTTTTCACAACAAAAATCAATGCAAACAAAAGAAATATGAAGAAATATTAACGTTTATTTATGTTTACACGTTCGACTAAGTCAAAAATTTAAGTAAATTTACTTTGTGTGAAAAAGAAGTGTCGATGGGTAAATAATAATATTTTGTACAAGTAAATAAACTCGAAGCCTCTAGAAATTTTACACATGCAAAAGTGCAAAAATTTTATTCGCTTTAATCATTTTTTTTTGAATGCTTAGAAAGTTGTAATGTTAGAAAAAAGAAAAATTTAATATTATTTTATCTAAGCCGGTACAATACTGGAAACCGGATTTGGCTTCGGTTTTGGTACCGTTATCGCAACCAAAATAACATATATTTGTACCGAAACCGTAACCCTTATCGAAATAGCTTTAATTATTTAACCTTTATTACTTAAGTATACATACATACGTTTTCTGCGAAGTTTTATTATTTGATAGTGAACAACGCTTCCCGAAGTCGTTCAAAACAACATTTTCCAACATTCTTATGTAAATTGAAGTTAATAATGATCCTATTTTTGTATGTGGCTGTTTTTTTCCTTTGCCGCAGACTGTAGGCACTCAGTGTTCCACGATTCTTTGTATGTAATTTTACCTTTTGACTGTTTTGTGGGGCACATGCAATTAGCCTGATTGCATCTCTGCTTGGAAATTGAGCATATGGAAATGCTCTATACTCAACCATTCGTAATCCGCTTTGCCCACAGTTCTCATTTATTTATAATTAGCCAGTTTATGGCCAACCATCTTATGGCCAGCTGGTCTGGCTTTTTAAAATAGCCAATTAGTTGGCTTTAAGTTGGCATTATTTATCGAGGGCTTTTCATATATAAGTGACTTTGCAACTTCAGTTCAGTTTAGTATTGACTTTCAACAAGATGCATTTCTTAATTTTGGTTGTGTTTTTCTGGGCGGCTCTATTTGCATCGATTAAAGCAAATAATATTCCTGAAAAGGACTTTTTGCTTCAGATCGAGAACACACTGCAATTCGGTAGTTATGAGGATCCATCTGTTTTAGATTTAAACTAGTTACGAAGTGAAAAAATGTATTAAAAATGCCAACTAAAAAGCTTTATAAAATATTTAAAAGTTAATTGCAACAAGATTTATGTAAAAATTTATTTAAATAAAATTAATTAAATTTTGTTAAAATTTTGGATATTTTGCACGCTCAGTAAAAGTGAGTTTAGTTGGAAATTTAACTTTTAAAATGTCACCTACTCTGTTGTGTAGCACACTTTTAAGCTTCAACAAATTAGGATAAAATTGTAACACTAAATAAATAGTTGATTTGTTGTGTTAGTTATAATTGAAGCTGTTTACTAAAACAAAATGAATTTTATATATAAACCTCTGTAAAGGACTATAAGATATATTACAATTAAAAAGTATTAAAAGTATGCAGACATTTTGATCTTCTAATGTGAACAGCAAAATTGGAGTTTTGACAACATCTTTCGCAAAAGCTTTTTGTTATTCAAATGTTCATCGCCACTCCTATCGAAATTTAAACCCGGAATCGAAGCTCACATGAGAGACATTTTAATTGCCGAATTGTGTGAAACAATAGAACAGATGGGGACGTCAAACAACCAAAATGCTGGCAAACCGCTAATGACAACTATTCAACAAAATGTGTTTTCAATTCCCCGACCGCAGCGAAAACCCAACTAAGTAAATATGAAACTACGCAAACGTGGTTAAATAATTTGCACGGATTCTCTAAAACGAAATTTAGTTGAATCAATATTTGGACTGATTATAATAGAATGAAAAGTAAATAATTCCACGAAAAGAGGAGCTCTATAAGAGTGGGATCATGGGACAGCAAAGGCCAGTTGAAGTTGAGGTTGTTCGTTTGGCAAAATGCGTCTGTTCGTTGCTCTGCTTTGTGTCAGTTTGGTGGCAGTGTCCTCCGGCCAGTTGTCCCGGCGCGGAAGATTGGGTCGCTCCGCTCAGATAAAACTGGCGGTGGAGCCACCAACTCTGCTGGTGAAGAATGCCGGAATCGTGCCATCCGTGCTGGTGAAGAATGCCGGAATTGTTCCCGCTGTCGATGTGGCCGCTGATGTAGAATCGCCCAGCATCCTGCCGCAAGTGTCCACTTTGCCCTATTATCCCCGCTACTGGCCCGACTATGGAGCATCCACTGGCGGCTGGTATCCCCGAGGCTGGAACAGTCCCCGCTACTGGAACAACAACAACTTCTACGGCTACGGAGCACCCTTTCTGCCCAGACGTCGTTTCGTCAAGCCCGTTGTTACACCTGTTGTGACACCCGTTGTGACACCCGTTGTGACACCCGTTGAAGATCCCGCAGCCTCGTCCTCCTCCTCCTCCTCCTCCACCACCACAACCACCACCACTGTCTCCGGTGACAATTCTGAGGACTCTTCATCCACTGTGGATGCCGCCGTTGACCCCGAAGTGGTTGCCGATCCCGTCGAGCCCGTGTTCACCACCCAGGTGATCTAAGGAGCAAATGGGATCAAGTTAAAATAAAGTTATGTACATATTGAGCAAATACTATATCTTTTAAAAGGATTGGGGAAAAGGGGTATTTAGTTAACTCAACCTTAACTTAGCTCTTAACGAAAGTTTTGAAATCTTCCTAAACTTTCTTTGCTTTTTGACTGTATTGACAATTTTTCAATATTTGAACCATTTATAAGTTTTAGCAGAGATCTAGGGGTAACACAGGAGCAAAAATCAAATTTTTTGAAATTTTTACGAACCAATTGTACTTTTCCATAATAATTGGGTAATCTTGAGTAAAAGTCGCAAACAAACGTATGTTTCAACAGCTTAGGGTTTCGCGGTACAGTTAAGAATACGAAAATCCGATGTTTCTCAACTTTTTTAATTGCTCCCCGATATAATGGGAGCTACATCATTTTTTTTTTCAGATCTTAATAAACCACCGCAATTTGGATATATCGTTAAATATACAAAATATAGAAATATAGTAATATTCAAAAGTTACATTTCAGTCTTAATTAATCCTATTGATGGATCTAACAAGAATATTATAAATTTGTTCAAATTTCGTGGTTTTTGTACATTGGCAATATTATTATTTAAACAATTGGCACAGCTGGAAGGAAGAGAGAATTGTAAATATAAATAAAGTGTATAATTATTAAATTTATTAACATAAACAACAAGTTTACTCCTTTTTTACATAGAATTTTATTTTTAGTGGTTGCATTAAACATTTTAATAAGATAATGGTTGCATTTTTAGACAGCAAATTGTCTTTATTAGTTTAATTATTATTTAACAAGTCATAAAGTTACTTTAGTTTGTTTAAAAATTCAGCACTTAAAGTTTATTTAAAAACTGAAGTTAAATAGATGCCAGTTTTGAGACAAGTAAACAAATTGCATATTTGTTTTTGACTTTAGAGTTTGAATATAACCTTTGTGATCCAGCACTCGTGCCAAAGTTTAATGTCCATTTATGGCCAATTTAGTGGCCAAACCAGAACGGGGCAGTCCGCTATCTTATCACAAACGCTTTGTATATCGCAAACGCTTTTTGAGGCTTTGAGTAGAGTGCAAACACAGAGCTCAGTGGGGCATTAAAGGTGCAAAATCCACTGGCATGGACATGGCTGGCAACCAGTTCTGACCAGCCCCAAACACGGACAAAAGCAGCCGGCAAACAGCCTTCCATATGGCGCAATATTGAAATATCCAATCAAAATGTTAATTCGAGGATAGAAGAAGAGAGGAAAAGTGAAAATCAAAGGACCAGTTTTCGTTTACGGACAGGCATTGTATTTTTGAACGGATCCTGGCCAAGGATCGTCTCACTTCAGGTGGAATTTTCATCGAAATTTGATGGGTTTTTATGTACATTTACGTTCAGCCAGAGATGGATTTTAGAAAAAAAAAACCCTTTTCACACTTGTTGGATCATTAAACGGCGGAACCTCTGGGCAAATACATAAAAAGAGGGGTTTATTGTTATTTTTGCTCTCAGTTTGTTTGTATACAAAAATGTATTTTGTTTTCGCCTATGTAATCGGAGCATATTGAGGTACTTTCTATGCTCGCCGGAAAAGTGGGAGTTGGGATGGCGGTGACGTGCTTTCTTCTCCATGTTTATTTTTAGGGTTTTGGCCGGGACTTAGGGTATGGCGCCAGCGGACCACTCCCTCTCCGGCCCCCAGAAAACCTCCCCTAAATCCCAGCCCCTATTTTCATGAGCGCTTTCACACCAGGAGCTTTGGGCTATGCAAATGAATGAATGCCCATGAAAGTTTGCGCCGAATGAAATGAGTACTTTCTTGTGCAGTTTCCCTAATTGCATCAATTAGCCATGTAAATGTCAATAGCTATACTACCAAGCAACTAAAGATCTCTATATTTTAAATTAAACTAAAGCCATGGTCAGTATTGTCGACACACGTTTGTATTTTCTTCTTAGCCAAATGTTTATTTAAAAATCAAATATTTTTTATCACTTACAACTTTAAAGGGTTCAAATCATAAGAAATATAAGTATCATGTGAATTGTCAACTTAGAAACATACTAAGAGTTTCACGATTTCTTTTAGGTTTTACTTATAGCTTAAACATTATTTTCAATATTATTTTAAATAATATTTTATATTCATTTAGGCTAGATTTAAAATTTATATTTTTTAAAGACTATTAATCAGTAAATATTTAAACATGAATTTTTAGAATTTAAAAAAAAAGTTTTTTTTATTAAATAGTCAAATAAATTATATAATCTTTTTTTCTTAAATAATAACACATTGTTAAATTAAGAAATATATATGTTTTAGCCAACAATATGGATAAATGAAGGAGCACTGAACCCGGTTAAGTGTTATTTCTATATTCTAATCACAATGGCGGGCTTAATAAGCTGAATGTAATGAATAAACATCAGATATGAGAGCTGGCCCCTAATAATCCCCTACACATGACTGCATATGTGTACACTGGTCGAAATGGTTTATTGCTCTCTATCTCTATCCGCATCCTGCTATCAAATGATGTCCTGACATTCAGCTGACTTGATGAGAGCTCAGCCATCACCATCGCTGACATAACAATTGGAAACACTTCCGTTTCCACATGGGCAGCCACGGGCTGTATTTATTTGTGGGAGGTGGCTGGAAGTCCAGTGGGATCAGTGGAAAAATGTGGCCTATAAGCAAACAGAAATTAGCGCCCAACGTCGAAGGAAATGATTGCCCAGGAGATGAACGCAGTTATGGGATGTCTGTTTGTTGAAACGAAGGCTAAGTAAGAGTTATAGGAGGTACTTCGTAGGTAAACACTATGGAATTTGTTAAGCTTGTATTCTTTGCTGGTCAGAAACATTTTTAGTTGTGGCCTTAAATATAGAATTTAGGAATGATGGTTTTATTTTATTTAAAGCTGAAAGATGTTGATTAAGGTCAGTTATTTTTAAATTAATATACTAAGCTATAATCCCGAACTAACCGCAATGACAGTCCCTCTTCGTATTCAACTTGTCATATTTTGTGAGCCCGCAAAATCAACAAACAATAATTTAAAGCCAACACATGCCAGATACTGCGACACAGAGGGGTCCCGACTCCCCATGGGACTAGACAAAGTTTCGTAATTTTTTGTATGCAAATTACCGCGCATGGGGGTCCTCGGCGTGGCAAATTGACCAAAACATGTCAAGCGTGTCAACAAGAATTATAGCAATTGTGCGACGATTTCAATAATATGACCTGGCAAAGGTCACAACAAAATATTCCTGGAACTATGCGGAAAACAGCATAGTCATCTAAAAAGTAGTTTATTTTTTGCGAAATTATTTCTTTGTAACTAAATATTTATTTCTAGAACCTATAAAATAATACAACTTGTAAAATAAAAAGAAAATTCTCCAAAGTTGTGAATAATTGGTTGTTTTATTTTGTAAATAAAATCATGTTTTCATTTGTTTGGAAAATGAACGTCATTACCAATTTAAAGAAATTTTATATTTATACATTTTTGGAGGCAAGAAAGTTTGCAAATTCATAAATTTAAGTTTCCTTTGCAGTTTCAAAAACATATTTTGATTTTTCATTTTCTAATTCAGTTTTAATCAATAGATAATTAAATTCTGGGCACAACCAGTTCACCAACTCTTTTATTGTGAATGAAAAATAAAACAGAACGTTTGCTCGATTTCGGATAATTGGATGAAATTGTGGGACCGCCAAGAGAATTACTTTAATTGGCAGCAGCCGGGGCAAGGTCGCCGACAATCGAACGGGGTCAGTCGATATGGCCCATGCTAACATTAACTGGGCTAAGGAATCGATTGCAATCACAGTCATAAAGCGAATTACTTTGAACCCGAAACGTACAGGCTGCAAGAATGCCATCGGTTCACTTGGGGGTTAACAGGGTAACAGGGGTAACAGGGGTAACTGGGGTTATGGGCGGGTTAAAGGGACTGCCATGGGGTCAAGTGTAATGGACGTGAACATGTGATGCACGGACTGTTGACCAAGCCATATAGAAATGGAGCAATTGTCTCCTAGGTTGGGTCACTGAGTCAGCAAAGGAAAGGAAATGAGCGCTTCCCGTGGCTTGTTTCCCTTTGTCTCCGATTCATATTGTGGCTTAAGCTCTGCCGTTGATCACTAAAAGGTTTCCATTTTAATTAAATATCGTCCGGGCGAAATTACCGCCACTATATTGAATTCCTTTCGATGGTGTTTTGCTGTATTCAATTGAAATTCAATTAAGGGTGACATTTCATAAGACGTGTCTTTTGAATTGAGTCAGATTTATCATTACCAAAGACAATTGTAATGGAAATCACACAAAGGTAGTCAGTAATAGTGGTATATATTACAAGAGATGTTACAAATATTTAAATAAATGTGTTATAAGCTTTTTGTTAATTCAGATAAATCTTTTGTACAAAATGCTAACTAAAAATTCATGACTGAATATATTTCTTTGAAATTTAGTGCATGAAATGAAATAATTATAAATATCTTTGAAAAAAAGGCCTTATAAAGTTTGCTTAAAATATTTAAAAGTTAAAGGGATACAAAATTTTGGTTTTAACAATAATGATTAATAATTAATTCATTTTATATTAATACCAACTCTAAGATTCAAAATGTGCTTAGTTATAAACTTTTTTTTTATCAATTAACTAGTTTCTCTGTCAATATATAGCAAGTATTTAAATTAATTTTTATTAAAGACAACTCATATAAACAAGAACAAGATTTTTGATTAAGTTATATAATCAACAACAAATTTAAAGAACAAAATGAAACCATTTCCAAACAACTTGAAGTGCCCTGACCGCCAAATTAATTTGGTACATATGAACTGCTTTTATGCATTTTAAATTTAAAGGTGGACCCTTAATCTCATTAGGCCAATAAAAATTCTTCAATTAAGCAAGTATGATGCCACATAATTGAAAAAGAATGCCAATTATGTGAGGTTAGCCCTAAATTCCTAAGCTACCTCAGGGGGCCAAATTCTTTGACAACCTATTTATAGAGCGCTG